GAGATATAGAGCTCGAATCGAAAATTCACAACCGAAGCCCAGTAGATAAGACACGTACAAAGACGGTTATGTCAAGATTATGTCAAGGTTATGTTATATACCTGACGGTTGAGCTCGCTGTGGTGCAGCTTGTTGGTTGGAAGAGAACTGTGACGCTAGTAGTGAAAAATGTCGGAAGCTCGGGGTTGGTGCTTCGGTCTATCAACTACTCCTGTGTCTTAATTAACTAAGAAATCAACTGAAAATACACTCCATTGCCTTTGTACGTGCCTTATCTACTGGGCTTCGGTTGTGAATTTTCGATTCGAGCTCTATATCTCTCGATATTTACGAAAAACTGTTAGCGGCGGCCATCTTGTGACGTCATGCTCGTGAGATTGTCACCACTCTGGCCGAATATTGCAAATATCTCCGCAATAACTGCAAAACGGATATTTCTACAACCGAAGCCCAGTCGTTTAGTCTTTCCGGAATCTAAATTTTCCACTTGTGAACTGCATACTTCGATATTAAAGCGTCAGTTTTGGTCGATAGACACCCCTAAAACTAATATACGTATATGGTTTTCTTGTATGTGTGGCTCGTCATAGTGTGCGGCGACCCGCGCCCTTAAAAAGCATAGTTCCTCTAATCGTAGCGATCATACGAAAGCTTAATCGACGTATCGGCAGCAGGATTGCTCGACGTCAGGACGAGAACGAGACAGAAACCTCGATCGACCGGCTAACGTTTCTTCGGTGTATCATCGAAAGTCCTCCACATTTCCGACGTCGCCAAAGTGTCCAGAGGATCCCGATCCACCCCATAAAGTCGCCATCGTATTTCCCAAGCCGGAGTATAGCGACCGGGACGCAGGATCCGCTCGGAACGCTTAAACGCGGGTCTTTTTCACGGCGTGGAAGCGGAACGGCAAAAACAATAGACCGTCCCGAGCACGCGGCACGATTTATGCCGGGCTTCCGGTGAAAATTTCGCTTCCCTCTCTAGCCAGATATTAACACTTGTCATGTGCACTCTGCAGCGCTGGCAAGGAAACATACCCCCGGCTGCCCGCTCTCGACTTTGATGAAGCTCGACCGATCTGTTAAGTGTTCGGGACCAGCCCTGAAGCCGGCCCTGCCTGCCGGATGCCGTTCCTCCCGGCGATCAATTCGTTGTTAACCCTCCATGATATTGGCTTCTGTCACGGGGATGAATTAACGCGGATATACGGAGACAAGCGAAAGATATCCGGTCGCGCGGCGAAGAAACTGATCGTCCTCGCGAAACTGTCCACCGAAACTGTAACTAAAGCGTCCTCCGGCGTGATCAGCGGATAGCTGGAGGACACGTACAGATCGTCACGATGAATTAAAAACTTTGGCCATTAATCTCTCGCCGCATGAGTCATCTCGCGGTTCGAACGTGTCGTCTTTGTCCGCTGGCTGCGCAAAAGTGTATAGTTATATTTATTGTAGATATATTGAATACTCAAATTGTATCCTCTTACAATATAATATTAATATAATATTATAATATTATATAATATCAATATTATATTAGTATATAATATTATATAATATCAATATTATATTAGTATATAATATTAACCCTTCACCGTAGAGTAGTGACTCTCAATCGCCATTAAAAATTATTATATCACGTTCCAAAATAACATGTACATTACCAAATTTGTTAAAAATGACTCCTCGTTGGAGAGGATTCTAATATGATTTTCTAAAGGAAAATTGTACGTCAATGTATGTTCACCTTAATATTAGAAGAAGAATACACATTATTTACTGACGTTGTGAATGAATTCATCCGAAGGTCTATGAGTTAAGAATTTTTCGCCAGCAATAAATTATGCTTTTTGTGAACTAAAGGAATGTTCCTATTAAAATGGTACACACCTGTTTCAGGCTGTCCTGTGGCCAGCAAAGCAGACCAAAGAGCGCGGTGATTCTACGTGAAAAGGTACGTAGAATTTAATTATAAAATATGCGTTGTTTCGTTTGTTGAGACACTCTGGTTTGATGCTCGTATAATTCATGCAGACGGTCGTATCTACTACTGGTAGAAATAAATCTTGATTGATTGTTTATTATATAATACTATCATTGTAAGAGACAAAGATTTTTACCAGAATTGCCAAAGCAGTCAACACGACCAGTCTCCAATTTTCTCATGGTTGGTACGATGAAAGAATTAAAAAATTATGTTTTCCTAACTTTTTTATCCGAACCTATAACGAATATTTAAATAAAAGCAATTTTGTGGATCTCGGTAACTCGTACGGATGCTGAAAATTGCATTGAAATCGGTTGACGTTGTTATGAGCTGTTAACATGTAACACTATACCTACCGAACTCTGAAAACGACTAACACACACAAGTGTAGCCTTGTAAGAATTACAGGATAGAATTTCTTGAAATTTTTCACAATTCTTCTAATAACGTGTGTGCCCGAAGAAATAAATAAATTCAACAATTTCTAATGCAAGCAGCTTCATCACTTCAACGACTATGAAATAAAGAATGTGAAACCAGTTATTTGACCGGCGATGGTAGGTTATGTCAAAGTTCGCGAAAGTAGCAGTTTTTCTTGCAACAAATTCTTCCAATTCTTTTTTATAAGGATCCGCAATTAGAAGACACAGCGTAGGTTTGCGCATTATCATGCGACATCGTCGCAAAGCTGAGTATAGAGCAGAAACTGAGACAAAGGAGGTCGAAAGAGGTCGAAAGAGATCGCAAGAGGTCTGAAGAAATCGGAAGAGATCGAAAGGGATCAAAAGAGTTAGGAATAGGTCGAAAGAGGTCAAAAAAGGACGAAAGAGGTGGAAAGAGGTCGGAAGAGGTCCAAAGAAGTTGAAAGCGATTGAAAGTGGTCGCAAGAGGTCGAAAGAGGTTGGGAAAGGTTGGGAAAAGTCAGAAGAAGTTAGAAGAGGTCAGAAGAGGTCGGAAGAAGTCGGAAGAAGTCGGAAGAGGTCGAAAGAGGTTGGAAGAGGTCCAAAGAACTCGAAAGAGATTGAAAGAGGTCGAAAGAGGTTGGGAAAGGTCGGAAAAAGTCAGAAGAAGTCAGAAGAGGTAGGAAGAAGTGAGAAGAAGTCAGAAGAGGTCGGAAGAAGACGGAAGAGGTCGAAAGAGGCCGGTAAAGGTCGGAAGAGGTCGAAAGAGGTCAGAAGAGGTCCAAAGAAGTCGGAAGAGATCGGAAGAGGTCGGAAGAGGTCGAAAGAGGTCGAAGGAGGTCGGAAGAGGTTGGAAGAGGTCGGAAGAGATCGAAAGGGATCAAAAGAGTTCACAATAGGTCGAAAGAGGTCAAAAAAGGACGAAAGAGGTTGAAAGAGGTCGGAAGAGGTCCAAAGAAGTCGAAAGCGATTGAAAGTGGTCGCAAGAGGTCGAAAGAAGTTGGAGAAGGTTGCGAAAAGTCAGAAGAAGTTAGAAGAGGTCAGAAGAGGTCGGAAGAAGTCGGAAGAAGTCGGAAGAGGTCGAAAGAGGTTGGAAGAGGTCCAAAGAACTCGAAAGAGATTGAAAGAGGTCGAAAGAGGTTGGGAAAGGTCGGAAAAAGTCAGAAGAAGTCAGAAGAGGTAGGAAGAAGTGAGAAGAAGTCAGAAGAGGTCGGAAGAAGACGGAAGAGGTCGAAAGAGGCCGGTAAAGGTCGGAAGAGGTCGAAAGAGGTCAGAAGAGATCCAAAGAAGTCGGAAGAGATCGGAAGAGGTCGAAAGAGGTCGAAGGAGGTCGGAAGAGGTTGGAAGAGGTCGGAAGAGATCGAAAGGGATCAAAAGAGTTCACAATAGGTCGAAAGAGGTCAAAAAAGGACGAAAGAGGTTGAAAGAGGTCGGAAGAGGTCCAAAGAAGTCGAAAGCGATTGAAAGTGGTCGCAAGAGGTCGAAAGAAGTTGGAGAAGGTTGCGAAAAGTCAGAAGAAGTCAGAAGAGGTCAGAAGAGGTCGGAAGAAGTCGGAAGAGGTCGAAAGAGGTTGGGAAGGTCGGAAAAAGTCAGAAGAAGTCAGAAGAGGTAGGAAGAAGTCAGAAGAAGTCAGAAGAGGTCGGAAGAAGACGAAAGAGGTCGAAAGAGGCCGATAAAGGTCGGAAGAGGTCGAAAGAAGTCGAAAGAGGTCAGAAGAGATCCAAAGAAGTCGGAAGAGATCGGAAGAGGTCGAAAGAGGTCGAAGGAGGTCGGAAGAGGTTGGAAGAGGTCGGAAGAGATCGAAAGGGATCAAAAGAGTTCGGAATAGGTCGAAAGAGGTCAAAAAAGGACGAAAGAGGTTGAAAGAGATCGGAAGAGGTCCAAAGAAGTCGAAAGCGATTGAAAGTGGTCGCAAGAGGTCGAAAGAAGTTGGAGAAGGTTGCGAAAAGTCAGAAGAAGTCAGAAGAGGTCAGAAGAGGTCGGAAGAAGTCGGAAGAGGTCGAAAGAGGTTGGGAAGGTCGGAAAAAGTCAGAAGAAGTCAGAAGAGGTAGGAAGAAGTCAGAAGAAGTCAGAAGAGGTCGGAAGAAGACGAAAGAGGTCGAAAGAGGCCGATAAAGGTCGGAAGAGGTCGAAAGAAGTCGAAAGAGGTCAGAAGAGATCCAAAGAAGTCGGAAGAGATCGGAAGAGGTCGAAAGAGGTCGAAGGAGGTCGGAAGAGGTTGGAAGAGGTCGGAAGAGATCGAAAGGGATCAAAAGAGTTCGGAATAGGTCGAAAGAGGTCAAAAAAGGACGAAAGAGGTTGAAAGAGATCGGAAGAGGTCCAAAGAAGTCGAAAGCGATTGAAAGTGGTCGCAAGAGGTCGAAAGAAGTTGGAGAAGGTTGCGAAAAGTCAGAAGAAGTCAGAAGAGGTCAGAAGAGGTCGGAAGAAGTCGGAAGAAGTCGAAAGAAGTCGGAAGAGGTCGAAAGAGGTCGAAAGAGGTCGAAAGAGGTTGGAAGACGTCCAAAGAACTCGAAAGAGATTGAAAGAGGTCGAAAGAAGTTGGGAAAGGTCGGAAAAAGTCAGAAGAAGTCAGAAGAGGTCGGAAGAAGTCGGAAGAGGTCGAAAGAGGTCAGAAGAGGTCCAAAGAAATCGGAAGAGATTGGAAGAGATCGGAGGAGGTCGGAAGAGGTCGAAAGAGGTCGAAAGAGGTCAAAAGAGGTCGAAAGAAAGGGTCGACAGACCCGGAATGGAGCGATCTCGCTGAAGCGAGCCTTCCGGTGCGGCGAGCATCGATCGAAGAGTCGTCGAAGGACATCGCGGCAATTGTACTGGAACGCGGCACTGTTGCCCTTTGGCCGAGCCGACTGACAACAGGATATTATTCGGGGACACAAGCCTATCCTAATTGCCGCGGCATTGTCCAGAATCCCGAGAGTAGCCCGACGGGCTTCGTTAATTAGTTAGCATTCGATCGATTTCCCGCGTGCCGCCCGCCACCGGCAAACAGACTGCGTTAAAACATTGTTTACTTTGTACAATAACGCACCGGCGCGGCGCGTAGCGGAGCGGGGCGGCGGTTGATGCCGCGGCAAAATGATATTTGCCGTGTTTGCGCAGTTGTTGATATTCATTGGTTGATTAAACCGTTACGAGGACGGCTGCGGATTCTCGTCGCCGAGCTGATCGGTAACAGGAAAATGTCACGCGTAACCATTGTGCCCGACGTCCGCGAGCACTCGATAATCGGCAAACTTTTTGTTAACCTGCCCGTTCGATACTCCGACGGGTCGACTGGTATCGCGGAATTGTTCGTTAAATTTGCAAATGGTGAAATGGCTCGCAAGCGCAGTCGATTACCCTGCTATTCGCTCGTACTTATTAAAAGCGTGCCGGATACGTTTGATGCATTTAATCGCCGCACAGTGGTTCAAGCTGTGTTGAGATGCCGTCTTTATTGCTTTTTTTTTCAAATGCCAGGTTTTCTTCGCTTTCCAGCCTTTTATTTATATATTCACGTGTTCATTGCAATTATAGTTAAACGTTACTATATTGTTTTAATTATTGTATTATATATAATATTAATTACTATATATATAGTTAAATTAATATATATATATTGTTTTAATTATTTTTTTATTTTTTGGTATCTTTTCCGAACTATCGTAAAATATATTAACATTTAATATATAATAATATAGTATACAATAGTTCGTAAAAAATACAACAAAATAATAACGAATAAAAAAATGATTAAAACAATGTATATGCTACAGTAACGTTTAACTATAATTGCAATGGACACATAGTATAAATAAAAAGACAGCATAAAAACAGCATCATCACACAGCATGGCATTATACAATTAAATGTTGCCATTAATTAACAAACAAGCTTCGTTTAAGCTCATTAAGTAAACAACTAGTTAACGATTGCACTTTCCGCGTTTACAGTAAACCGAAGCGCAGCGCAGGCAACATCTCGGTAAATTTGCACACAAAGCACACGAATTTGTTGACTTACTGCTTCTCTTATCCAACAGTCACGTTCAGTGAAAGATAAGCATAACGCGATTGTTCCTGTTATCATCGAAAATCCCATAAAAAACTTGGAATTTGCGTAAAATCCCGGGGGCGTAAAATCAAGAACCGGCTCCCGGCTAGAAAATGCTAGTTCTTAAAAAGGAAGATAAGGTGATAAAACGAGATAGCCGGCGAGGAAATGGAAGAAGAACGCGCGGGACACTCGGAAAAAAGTGGTAAAGCCGTAAAGAGAGAAAATAGAGGAGCACCTGAGGACCTGGTAGCGCAAATGTACGTTCAAAGTAGCGCGGGGCCTTGGAAAACAACATCAAAAACGAATGATATTATGAAAAGACTCGAGGTCGTTCACGTAACGCGAACACCGGAAAGGTCGGAAATTTAGAGAAAAATATGAAGATGCCTAGTCAAGATTCAATATTAGTCATCAGTAGACTACAAAATAATTTTTATGCGAAACAAAAATGATGAGCAGCAGTTTCGAAGCACATTAATTTCTTGTTTTAACCCTCGAATATACAATCGACGATGTTTACGACGATTTTCAGCT